TATATATGTAATGGTCTGAATAGTGGTTGCCAGTTTGCTTTGCTAGAAATGATGCTTTTTTCCATATGTATGTATGTATATGTATCTACATCTCCCTTCACTTCAGTGTGAATATTTTCTGCATAAATGCTAAGAGATAACCACATGTTGAAATGATATGAAAGGAAACATGAAGAGACGATGATTTTTTTCATCTCTTAAGAGAATATCTATATAACATACTTTCAGGCCACGTTGCTTCTATGTGCATGTACAAGACATTGTGCTTTATGTGAACTGAACTGAATTGTACTGTCAATCATATGATTCCAGGGATAGCTGTTGACTGGGTGACGTCTAACGTCTACTGGACAGGAGGCGGGGGCAGTGGGACCATCTCTGTCGCTCGCTTGGATGGAAGTTCCAGGAAAATCTTGAAATCATATCTTAATAACCCACAAGGAATCGCTGTACATCCAGAGCTAAAGTAAATATTACTTTCATAATTTCGTTCTTTTTACTGGCATTCTAATTTATAATTACTTATAGATATGTAAGTTATCACTTTCTATATATCCTATACAAAAAATTAAGATTGCAGACTTCCGGAAAGTATTATAGAGTCATTCGTGCAATTCTCTGCTTCCTGAATGTCTGCTAGCTACCATAGCCATTAGTTCTATCAGAGCTTGTTGCCTCCTGTCATTCTGCCTGTCAATCTTCCCTTCACCCGCGTGCTATCAACCTACTCTGTACAAGCAGACATACAAACCCACAGCGCAGCCACCGAAAACAACATTTCCGTACCGCTTTAATCAAAGTTGCTGCTGTTCACAACTAAACTTTCAAACGCGAATGTTGTAGCTGCGCAGGCTAGTGTTACAGCTATTCTAGTTATTCTATCATTTATAGAAATACTTTGAATATTTAGATATAGAGAATATTACAAGAATTGTAGTTACATATAGAGAAAAGAATAGCACCGTGCGTACTTAAAGGATGTTGTTTTTAGGTTGCTGTTCTGGACGGAAGCCGGTGACTATTCTCCCAGCATCTCACGTTCTACTCTGGCTGGAACCGAACAAGAAGTCATCATTAGATCGAATCTCGGGGTTTCTATCAGGAAACCGACTGCTCTCTCCATTGACTTCCTTAATAGCCGGTAGGTTTAACCCTTGTATAACGCTATGAGTTATATGTAATACAACACGGTGTATTCCGTATCACCAGAGGTTCCAGTCCAACCGCGTATCGGATTGCCCAAACGCATACCTATCCGCCCTTTAATGCAAAATATGCCAAAATCTGGTGTCCAAAAATGCAACAACGTCAATTCCAACGTCCGAATCCGGTACTCGAATTTTCGAAATCGGCCCACGAAACGCGTTCGAACTATTCTATGGAACTTACAGAAGCCCGTGTAATAACCGAATAGAACCCGGGCTGTACCGCTAGTTATCACACGGAAGAAGACCCAGGTGTGGCATACATACATGGAACTTAAGATATATAACGATTATGTAATGCATATAGCAATGCCCTCCATGCATGAATCTGTTTTTCTTTACTGTAGGATTTACTGGGCTGACAGTGGTACCGGAATCGTGATGTCCTCAAATCTTCGCGGGAGGGAGCCCCAACAACACTGGAGAAGCAACGGGGAGCTGTTTGGACTAGCCGTCTACAAGGTACTTTGAAATTACCTTATTGCCTTCGTCAAAAGGGTATATTTTCATTTTGGCCTCGGTGGGATGGATTTGGGTCTGTATGTATGTCAACGTCATAACTCTAGTAGTTGCAAATGGATCTTTTTGGTATTTGGTAGATAAGTATGTTTTTAATTTGGACAGGGGGCTAAGACAAAGGCTAAACCTGTTCCCCCTGTCCAATTACATACTTGGTAATGTAATGAAGCTGAAATAAATAAATAAAAAAGTAGCTGTTGTGGAAACAATGGTCAGGTTCAAAAATGGTCCACCTAGCTTTACACAACAGTACTGCAGTGGGCTTTTTATGATCTTGTTGAATGTTGCAGCATAACTCGAGAAGTTGCGAAAGGATATTGATGATTAAAGATGCCTGATGAGTAAAGTAATACAACTTCAACATACATGCATGACATTACAGCTGTTTTTTGTTGCACCAAGGACTTTATTTTCTGGACGGACCGTACAAACCAGACCGTCAGTATCGGGTTGAGAAGCACGCTAAGAAAGGTGGTCCAGCTTCAGACAACTCCTCACAGTGTTCGCGTGTTCGACGGAAGTGAACAGCCACTCTCTAGAGGTATGAAATATATTCTTCCGGTTAAAAATGTCCGTTTCCAAACTTGGAGTTATCATTCGAATTCCAAGCGTAGAAAGACACACAAACACACAACGCAGACACCCAACCAAGAATTAAACATAAAAACAATACTTCCCTACCGAAATAAAAATTTGTAGTTGTTTTTCTTCTGCATGTCCTTTACTCTTACATATGTTTTGAAAAAATTGTTAACATTTGCCCTTTTCTCTTAGGGACACCTAAAATGTTTTTGTATGCAATTGTCGTGTGTTTTGTAGGTCCATGTGATCTTCAAAATGGCGGCTGCAGCGAGCTTTGCCTGCCAACAGCCTCGGACAGCAAAATCTGCGCATGCGGGGAGGGCCATTCGCTGCGTTCGGACGGTTTAACCTGTTTTAACCCTGCAAACCCACCGACAAGTAAGACAACTTGTTTTAGTTTCTAATGGATGAAATGTTATGAATGTTTTAAAAATAGCAATGTTATTGTTGTTCTACATGTAGATATCTGGCATAGAAGGAATTTCAACAAGAAAGAGGAGATTTCAGACAGGAAGTAATAGATGTTATACATGTTTGAAAAATAACAATGTTGCTAACGTTGTTTTGGATACATGATTTAACATAGAAGCCATTCCAACAAGAACTCGGAGATTTCAGACGGAAAGTAGTGCTTGGGGTTTTCGACAATATATTGAAACTGTATGATATAATAAGAGCCAGTGTTACAACACCTACTGACATTGCCACAACGTTTAGAAAGTAACCACGATGCATTTTTGCCACAGCAACAACAGCAGTGACAACCACGGCAGCCAAACCAGCACCAACAACTGTAGCAAGAACAACAAAAGTTACAAAGCCGATACCAGGTACAGTAATAGTCAGGCAACATTCCATGAGAAATCTATTCTTACGAACTTTTTTGGTTTTGTCAATGAATTGGAGTTGTCAATGTACAAGTAAGATCACTGGGAAATACCCGATTTAATTACTTGGTGGAGAGTAGCAACAGAAAATGGGGCGTATTTCACAATATTTTCTACCAACGTTGCAACTTCTGTTTGGGGAGTACCGTTTCTACACATATACGTATAACTCTTCATGGCACTTTCTGAATGCCTTTTTGTATGACTGATACATTTTCAGTAACGACATGCACCAAAGACACTCTACCGGCGGTGACTAACGGTGAGTTCGGCAGCTGCCCGGTCATAGCAAACGTCAAGACTTGTCGTGTCGTCTGCCGGCCTAACTTCAAACCAACGGTCAGCTCCATCAACTGTCTGCCGAGCGGCAACTGGAACAAGAGCACGGAGTTCGCCTGCGCACGTAAGAACACTAGAGCACTGTACTTATATATACGTAGCAACGTTTTGTATGAAATGGAAATAACTGTTGGCATGACATGGGACTTGTATCTAGTCAATAATCTCCAAGAAGATCCTAGGGTGGCAAAAGACAGTATCAAATTGGCCAGGCAGTATCCATTGGCCAGAGATAGCCCAATAGGCCACCCAATGGATACTGCCTGACCAATTTGATACTGTCATTTGGCACCCTAGGATCTGCTTGGAGATTATCTAGTCATACCTGTCAGTATTTGCATTTGTACACAACGATCAATGGAAGTGAACTACACATTGTAGATTCTGATATTCATAGTGCAGATAACGCAATTGAAATGGTATCTTGTCTACTCACATTTGTCCTACGATCGCCATACGATCGCAAACTGTCGTACGCATGTCGTACAAATGCAGCTACCTTGTTACAAGAGAAGCTGTCTTAGACCCTTTTCGGCCGTTGGTTCTGTTACAGCCTGCTTGAAAATCCCCGCGGCATCAAAATCGTGCGACGAATGTGACATAGGTTATTTGTAACATGTTTAAGTGTGACAGTTCACTATGTACTCTGTTTAAGGACTGTAAATATCATCCTATATCTAGGCGTTGCAGCACCCGAAGCAGTTTCCATCAACGTAGCCTTCAGAATTCCAGCCGTACCATGCACCAACGACGCGTCGACGCTCGATTCAGCGAGAAACAGCCTCATCAGCAACTTTAAACGGCGAGGCATCTGTGAAACTGCTTCAAGAAGTAACGTCGACGTCTGCAACGCAGATCAGATGACGGTGTCATGTTCTGACAGCAGCACACGGAAACGGCGAGAACTAGAGGATGGCCTTCCTGCTAATCCACAGCTTCAACAGCTTTTATTACCATTGTTACAAGACAGTCCTAATACGTCGCGTCTTTCCGAGTCATCGCACAAAAGAATATTGGAGAAGCAAGCCATGCCGCCATACAACCAAGCATACAGAAAGAAACGAAGTGTAGGTCTCCCAGAGAAAAGCCTTGCTACCTCTCTAACCATGGGTAACAGCGAAGACGTAGTGATGCATTTGGTCAAGAAAGATGCGGCGGTGAAAGACAGAATCTGGTCCAAGAGAGTCAAACGAGCGACCAGTGGTTTGGACGTGAACATCGCAGTAAAGGCCACACCAGACACGTCAGAGGGAAGCCTGGAGGACAGCATCAGCCAGACTCAGGCCCACGTGCAGGATGTGGTAGACGAGATAAGGATGGAAGTGGCGGCTGGGAACGTGGCTGTAGAAGTGGACGGGCAGACCTACCCGGCAGATCGGGACTCGTTCACGGCGATGGCTGTGAAGTATGAATGTCCGAGTGGGACCGTGGAGATAGACGGAGGCTGCGGTGAGTTTCTTTGAAGTGTTCTTTTTGGTGACGCTGTTTCGGAGAAGAATCAAAAGCTATGTTGATTATTCTTCAGAATACCCATATTCCACTCCAAGTGGCAGTCACACATATATGAGGTGTTAAACGAAAATTGCAATCAGAATTCTTTATTCACTTGGTTCACTGTGCACAAATCAGAAGATATGTGTTACTTTTTCACTGTGCATCTAAGCTAGGCGTTACAGCTAACAATGCGTTCCCAAACGATTGGTAGTAGTAACATCTAGTCTAGTAGCTTCAGTTTACAGTGAACCAGTAACATCTAGCTTCAGGGCACAGTGAACCAGTCATAATTGCCCTGATGAAGATGACAAACGGCCATCGAAACGTGGGGTCTTGTTCAACAATTGGTTGTGAATGAACCTGCTGAAATTATTCAACGATAATTGTATTTCTTCATTGTTTAATCAAACAGGATCAGTGCCAAGGAAAGGCAGGTCTAACACCGCAGCGGTGGCCGTAGGCGTCGTGGTGGCCTTGCTGCTGTTAGGCGCCATCTCGCTAGGGGGCTACATGTACTATCGCAGGAAGCAGCGCACCTACCCGGGACAAAACGTCAGACTGAAGGACCTGGAAACCCAGGAGAATCCAGCGTTTGGCATGAACGACACCCACCCTTACAACACAGGTAAGAAAGTACATAATATTATTGTGTTTCGACAAAGCTCATGTCGTTTGTTGTCTTTTGAAGTCTTATATATGCTATATATGCACAAACATTGTACATGGGCAAAACACACACACACACACACACACACACACACACATCGAATTCCCGGTCATAACACCGTCAATCAACTGAAACTCAATCTTAGCCCATCCACTCCCATACACTTGTATGGCTTAACTTACTCGATTTGTACACTTAAAATATCTAAATCTGGAAGTAATGATGGCATTTTAAATAGTAAATCACTTTCTGTTCGCGGTAGCAAAAGTTTGAGGTCTGAGAAAAATGCACGTGTTCGCGGAACTATACATTCTCGGTGGTGGCAGGTGCTGAAAAAAGGAAGTCGAAAAATAGGGAATTATTTTTCCACGGCAATGATAAATTCGCGGTACAGAAGTGACCACGAAAACCGCGAATATAAGACTACCGCGAAGAAATCGTGGTTTACAAAATACTTAACATATTTTACATGCTGCTAAACTTTCTCGTGAAAGGTTTGGCGGAAGGTGCCGATGGCGGTTTCCTGGACCTGACCAAAGCTCAACCAGAGAACGCCGTGCAGATCGAGGCCTTGCCCGAGAAGCTCGCTCCGTCTGCGCCCGACTGGGAGGGTTTCGATGACGGCAAACTTTCCAAAGAAACTGTGGCGCAAGCCGAGGAGCACGCCGTCCCCTATCCCAGCGCTCCAGTGGTGGGAGAAGGCGTCAACAACTTCGCTCCCAGCGCTCCGATAGCGGGGGATGGCGTCATCAACCTCACAGAGGAAGAAAAGAAGGTTCCAGTCGCCAACTGGGAGATCTTTGATGAAGGCAAACCGGCCTCAGAGGCTACACCACCGGTGTACGAGAATGTAAATCGCGATCTTGGCGCACCCTCTGCACAAGGCGACACCGCCCCTCCCACCGACTGGGAGATATTTGAAGACGACAAGCTTACAAAGGAAGCTGCAGACCAACAGGAGCCCGAGACACAGCCCCCGGACGATTATACCCAACCAGGAGGCATCAGTAATCCTATGTATGGATCTAAAGGCGAGGGAAATGCGTAAAGTGTGAAAAAAATCTGTGAATAGAAACAAATGTCAGAGCAAAATAGTAAAGTAATGGTAAACCGATTTTGACAATAGAAAAAGTGAACAAATTTAATTGGTATCTAAAATCAAAAGTTATGAGCTATGATGATTCAGTTGTACATTTTGAGTCGAATTTTCAAACCAGTGATTTTTTTTGTCGTTTGTGAAAATCTATGTTATACTAGATGGTATGTTATATTTTATGTAGGTGGCAAGTAAGACTGGCGCAGGCCTGCTGGTATCCAGGTCACAAACACGTTATGCTTCTTCCTCCTCTTTACCATGACAACAAAATTTACATAGATATTACATATTACAGAAAACATGGTAATTAATGTTGAACAATCACAACATCACAATATACTTCGTGCTAGCTTTGACCGGGAGGAAAATGTATGTAAATATCTGCCATACACCTGCCATTTTATCTGTAAATTAATCCTTTTTCTGTGTTTACCTATTTTTTTTTTGCATTGTTGTTACTTATAAACATGTATTCAGATCTGCTACTCTTTTGAAATAGGTTGTGTTTAAGCAAAGAAATGCTGCTTAACGTATCACGTAATAATCATATCTATAGAGCATTCCATGACAAAATAATATTCTTATAATGAATAAGTCAGGCTAGATCTGGATTTTACAGAAGTTACAAGCTTTGGTTGCTACTCTGTCATGCTTAAAATTGTGAATTTTGTATTAAATGGAGCAAAAATACTACAAAAGTTTGTATTTGCTTTAAGATGTAAACTATTAACATAATTCCTCACACTCAGGTGACTGTAATGACACAACGTCTAACTACGAATACCAGGGATCGAACCCATGACCTCATGTCTGCTAGCCTAGGGTACTTCGCCATTCGACGCCACTCAACTGGAAATATGACCTGGGGGGAATTTACATCATGAATGTCTCCGAACACAAAATAGTTGCCCAGTTTGTTTACGAGTTTAGAGAATTTCTCTTCTTTGTTAAAAGCCCCCTTCAGTGTATCTATTTAAGAGCACTGCGGTGTAATCTTTCAGCATGGGGAAATACCTTTTTTTCATGAGGGTCTGCATGGGGGATTCGTGCAACGCTTAAGGGTAAATCAAGTTGTTCTTGTGTGAGGCTATGGAAACTACGTCATTGGCATGTCCTTTTGTACCAATGGGATGCTTGGCAATCTAGTCTGAGGACCTTAGACGCTCTTTTATGATTTTGGGACAATCTAACGTTCGAGTACATGACACAAGTTTTTTTCAATAACGTATAACGATCAATATACGATAACAAATAGCGTGGGATCTACGTGGGATTAAGGAAAAACAAATACACTTACAGTGTTTTGCCAAAAACACTGAAGGTTGATTCAAAGCGGGCAGCTACGTTGAATTGAAATGGTTCGCTACGCCGCAGCAAAAAGCATGCAGACCCTCCCCCATTCCTGCACATAGCCTATTGCTGTGTCAGCCACCCCTTCGCTCTATTAAAACATGACTCAGCAGAGCCATACAGTCAATTTCTCTTGCCAATTTCCTCGTGCGTGTTGGTTACTTCGTGACTTCCTCAAATCCCACCAGATATGCCACAAATCTCGCGTGGGGGAAAACCAGGGAAGAAACAGGGGAGAGAAAGTGAAACCTGTCGACACCTGCTTGTATAGGTAGATTTTGGCCTGGGGCTATGTTCGCTTTTGTTCTCTGAGTACGTCAACACGCAGGTTGTTAGTGTCATCCGACACCGCTCTCCTCTCTCTCATTGGTCGGTGGCAGGACTTCGTCACGTACCGCAAAAAGACACTGGTATTCCCCGCCCGCGGGTTACTGTACATGTATGTTGCGTACTTAAGGCTATGTTTGCTGCTGTGTCGAGGCACGCGTTTCGCCGACTCTCCGCTGTTGAATTGTCACCGTGTGCAAGAGTTTTCCAGGCCATGAAGACTGAGTACAGCTCGTCTTCACTCGGGGTGAAGTTACTGTGTCTTCTGAGCGTCTTTCAAGGTAAGATCACTTTCAATTACGCGTGGAAAGTAGGCCGCACTAAGGATTAGCTCAACCCGGAAACAAATTTCACGAAAAATCGCACAGAATTGCTCAGTAAGCTTAAATGCTAATCCTACTGGTTCGTTTTAGAAATACATGTAAGTACTAACTTTGAAATGTTAGTTAAGTCTTTCAAAATGCTAGTTAACTCTTTTCAAAAGTTGTACATACTTAGTTCCTCTTTTTTAGGTGTAAGGTTTAAGGCGTTAAATCTGTTGTTGTTAGAAGAATTATTCCATTTCTAAAACAGTCAAAAACAGTACGGTTGGTACACATGTCACCCCGTGTATCAGTTGTCATAGATTTTTCATTATATACGTGTATATATTGTGAGATATTTGATGGTGTTTGTGATGTTTCCTGCCACGTTTGAACAGGAAAAGAAGTTAGGAAACAGGTGCGTTTTTCTGCCGATATTTCAAAAGAGGAACTAGTTCTTGTCATCGACGGCACTGTGACGACCTTGAATGGGAAACAAGAGTAGACGTTGAAACATGATCTGGGGATGCTGATATAATCACAATAGGATCAGAAACAAAAAACACCGGCTTATTGTTGGTGTTATTTTGACTCAAAATGCGTGGGCAATTACAGAAGTGACATGTACTCCCTATACTATACATTTTTTCTAGGTAACGGTTGTTTATAGTCACCTAGTACTTCTATCTAGTGAAGTACTAGTACTTCTGCTTTCTTGTGCATGTACCACCTACTTTGGTTCGACTTGACATTTGTAGTTTGAAGTGTGGTGTGTTTTCGGCGGTTGTTTTTTTTTATCAGGCAATAGGATCTCAGCCGTAGAAGGGCAAAGTTGAATCTACCGTGTTTGTAGGTGTCTGTAAAAGTAGGGCAGCCGGTCTTGTTGAATACAAATTAACTGCAGAAACACCTCCAGGCATTTAAGTTGGAGGTAAGAAGTGTCCGTCAAGGGTCAGAAAAGACAGTAGAAATGCAGCCTGAAAATTCGCTTGTGTTCAATTCGGTACATTCATTCTGAGGCAGACTTTAAACTGTGTGTTTGATACGTCGTATCATCTTTATTAAATCAAGAAAACTACACATTAAAACAATGGACAAGATGAAGGGTTAAAAACACCTCGGTCGGCCCCTTAAGACAGATCAACATTGATCTAGAACGCAAGTTTTTTTTTCAACACTGAAATCATAACGTTCGTGACTTGCCCGTGTTTGAGCTGTATGGATAGTTGCAAGGAACGATCAATCCACTGCTTCTAAGAGTCAAAAAGACTGTGAAAGTGTTGTTCAGTCAACCATACACGGGGTAAGTCCCACGCTCTCCCCATTACAAGTAGGTGTGTGTCGGAAATTACTGGGAAAGTCCTGGCCCAAACCGAGATGTCCTGGAACAATTTTTACTCTATATACGAGAAGACGGAGAAACACACAAGTTTGAAGTGTCAAACGGAGTTCGGTTTTTTTTATTCTTCACATCTGAAACGTCTCCAAACACGTTCTATATCTGTAGAATATACCGCTATGGAAAGTGGAGGCTAAATTCAACATACTAATAGATCAACTTCTTGTGTTGTTAATGGTGTCATTTTACTGACTCAAGGCCGTTTTGCCTCAGTAACCATAAACCAGGTAACGGAAAGAGATCGTATACTTGTATTGAGTGTTGAGCCTGTTTACAAAACTACCGTTCTGTTCCCGGCTCCAATTGCAAGGTGATGACAGGTACTTAAACAACTGGTGCCACGGTCATGGCCGCCAAAAGGACACAAATTCCTGACTGGTTGTGTCAGAAAGGGAACACAAACAACTGTTTCCAGCCAAGCATGATGTTAACACTACAAGTACAACACAGACCACCCGACAAACATGGCTCGCAAGTCCTTTGCCAGGTTTTTTCTTCCGAAATTATGACCATACATATTTGGTATTCAATGCTTAATGCCTCCTCCATACGTGTGACCAAATCAAGAGTTCCGTTGGGCCAATTGAGCACCATACGTTGTTTATAGTCAGCCCTTAAACCTAAAAAAGGAGCCGGTGTTGAGTCAAATCCTTGAGCTGCCACATACGTGAGAGGTCAGGTGTCCAGGGCAAGGGCTAGTGTTCGCGTTGGTTTTAGAGTTGTTATATAGGGTTAGAGTTAGGATCATTGTTCAGGGCAAGGATTAGACTTACGATTAGGTTAGGATAGGTTATGACTAAATCCCTCCCTCCCCAGATCAGAGGTATATTGAAAATCCCCAAGTAGTGTCGGAATCATGTACATGTATTTGGCAGAATCATGTATATGGTTTGACACTGGGCAAATATGTTATTAGGGGGAGGGACCAGCAAATGATCTTTCTAATGGAATCTGATGGAATGGTGCAACTATGAAAAACATCTTATTTATACATATAGGTACAGGTGCACAGCAGGCCTCAGTGGAGTCGATTCTTGTTGCTGATCTCTTAAATAAAGCAATCTACAAGGTCGACGCAACGACGGGATCAAAGGAAACACTTCCGCTTGGCCCCTTGCCCAATCCCGTCGCAGTGGACTATGACGCAACTTCCGGTTATCTCTACTGGACTGACTCGCAAGCTCATCAAGTACAGAGAGCTTATCTGAACGGAACTGGGATGGAGGTCGTAGCCAGTACAAGCACCATGGGTGAGTTTCAATTTCAAACTTATTCTAACTCTTTGAAATGCATGACTGTATAGTAGAATCAAGAGGTCCCGGGTTCGAGTCCTGACATGCCACCGATCTTGTGCCCTTGGGAAAGGCACTTTACACGACTTTCCCCACTAGACTCAAGTGAAAATGAGTATTGTCTGTCCAGTATTCGTTTCTATGTTTTATAAATCTTCACTGTTCTTGCTTTTCAAAGTCAAAAATGACAACAGCACAGAAAGCAATTTTGTGGTGTAATTCAATCGGGTATTCCTCTCTGACCAGACTTAAAACGCTTGTTTCTCTTGCCTAGTTTCCTTTCCTTTAGATTTAGACTTGGAAGACTGTCTTGGACGTCTGGAAGTCTGAAATCCCCAATTTCTTGTTTTTGCGGTGACTCAACACAACTTTGAACTGTCTTTTAACGCATTTGTCGTTGTGCTTCTTGCCTTTTACTACATGCGTTGCCCGTGGCATGCCAGGCGGTGACTCAACACATCCATGATAGTATGAACTGTCTTCTAACATATTGGTAGCTGTCTTAAGCTACGGTCACAACCCGCCGTACGTGCGTTTTCTCCGTACGTTTTTTGGGAGGCTACGTCTGCTACGTTTTTTCTGAAGACGTGGGAAAGGAGTGGCGTCACTCGCACGTCACTCGCACGGTTGGACAAAGTGTAAGAGTGTGGTCTGCACGCCAAGTCTGGCCGTGAGCGTTTGCGTGCATCGTACGTTGCGCAGGTGGTAAGTGAGTTGTACGTGCTTACAACGTACGATCTACGTGCGATTGCAACTTTACCGCAAGGAGGCCGTACTCACACGTGCTTCTTCCGCACGGCACGTACGGGGCACGCGCGTCGCTCGTACTCGCACGCACGGGTGGTGAATCCGCAGACCGCACGTAGAAAAAGTTTTACATGCACTTAAAGTTCTACGGCGTGTCTGCGTGCTCCCAAATCCGTAGGATTCCGTACGGAGGTGGTACTCACCACGCACGGATGCCCTACGTTTGCCCACGTTTTTGCACGTAGACAGCACGCAGAAGCACGTACGGCGCCGGGTTGTGACCGTAGCTTTACAGTTGCGTTGTTTCTTGTTTTACAGTTCCTGACGGCGTTGCCCTTGACATACCAGGTGGAAACGTGTACTGGACGGACACGAGCCGTGACGCCATCTCCGTGGCCAGGATGGACGGGTGGTTCCCCAGGAACGTCCTGACTACAGGACTGGACCAGCCGAGAGCTATCGCCCTGGATCCAGCAAACGGGTGAGTCCTTCTACGTACTTAACAGTCCAAAACATAGTGTATTGCGGGTAAACATAATGCCTGTGCACATGTATTGTCGATCGGTGTAATGTAGCCAGCTGCCGCCGCGCCGCGTGCCTCCCGGAAGCTGGTGTGTTACGCTGAAAGGCGGTTATACCGGCTATACAGATACAGATAAAGCTTATTACACAACAATTGTCACATTAATGTTTTTCAACACATCGAAGGATTGATTTTATGCTGGATCAAAGTTGAGATACGTGTGCAATCATTTGTGTGTGTTTGTGTGTGTGTGTGTGTGTGTGTGCGTTGTGTGTGTGCGTTGTGTGTGTGTGTTTGTGCGTATGTGTTTGTGCGTGTTTGTACATGCGCGTCTGTGTATACAGTTCATTGCATTTGTATGTACCCATCAGGTACATGTACTGGACAGACTGGGGGGCCCAGGCTAAGATAGAGCGGGCTGCTATGGATGGGACCGGGAGGACAGCACTGGTCACCACAGGGCTACTATGGCCAAACGGACTCACTATAGACCAGTCCGGTACGTGCAAATTTATGTCTTGTCCTTATATATGTTTTGTAACTGTACCATAGCTTTTCTAGCTTTACATTCAAAGAGGATATCTATGATATTACACATGACGATTATCTATATAACATTACGATGATCTATAGATAATATCCATAACATATTTGCGTGCCAATTATAAAGTGATACTGACGGAAATTGACACATTGTATTTATATGACAAAAGGTATATGGTTGTGAACATATTATTTATGTTTCTATTGGTGGCACAATACCCTAAATGCACATTTTGCACAAATCTATTTGCATCTTTCAAACAGTCACATTGACTAACATTGTTATCTTATGTTACCTCAGCCCAGCGTCTTTACTGGTGCGATGCGAGAACCTACAAGATCGAGAGCTCAGACTTGAACGGCTACGATCGGCAACAGTTCTACTGGAATTTTGGGTTCCATTTCTTCGGCATTGCTGTGGATGATACACACGTTTACTGGACAGCATGGACCTTTTCCAGTGTAGTTAGGTAATGGAAACATTTGTTTTGAGAAGCTGAGGATTTGTGTGTCTCTTTTTCATGTTGGGTGGGAGGTGATTTTGGCAGTTGATTGATAGGGAGGTAACGTCTGAAGGTGAGGGTAGGTAGGCAGTATGTGGAGAATATGCAGTAAGTGGTGTAATACATACTCGATTTGTTTACATTATACAATCCCCTCCACAGTTCAAATACGTTCACAAAAACATCAAAATTTCCCAAAAGTGTGAAATGTCCAATTACTTGTTTTAACACCTTTTGCACCTTGCAGGTCCTCTAAGACAACCGGAGTACACGAAACTATCGGCACCGGCCTCAGTCGTCCAGCTGGGATCCAGCTCATAAAATCAGGAACTTATCAACCAATCTCTAACGGTAGGTTGCAACCTCTTGGGATTTAATAATTAACGTTTTCTTCCACACTCGGAGTTAACGCTTTATGGTAGCCTAGTTAGTATCCATCCATTTGCTTATGGCGAAGTTGGGGCAGTCTGGACGTAAATGGGAACATGATGTTCAGCACCATACTTTATCCAGAACCATACTCAGGCACGGCTCTGGATAATCCACGGGTATCCAAAACCATGAAACTAAATATTTCTTGTTTGAAATTCACAAACTCTTTGCAAAAAATATAGGTCCTAAGTGATGGAGGTAATAGGCCGACCATCGTATCTTTTCTCATACCTTTCATGGTACCATATTTTTTATTCTTCATAATATGTACGTGTGTATTAAAGCTATGATCTACCGTGATTTCCAGCCTGTACGAGTCAGAACGGCGGATGTCAGCATCTGTGTCTGGCCCGGCCCGGAGGGAGGACGTGCGCTTGTCGGAGCAGCTGGAGACTCCAGGATGACGGCGTCACGTGTCAGCCGTTGGGTACAGTTTAAACTCTTCTCTTAGCTCTGCTGATTGGTTGATTTCATGTACCCCCGACCAGGTTTGCCTGTTATAATTCTGATCAAGTTTTCAAATGACAGACAGATAAAATGTCGTCGATTAAGGTATAGTGATGGGTAGCCCGACTGAACTTCGCTTTTCGCTGGCCCCTTAGTTAGTCCGCAGCTCCTTGAGCGCCGGACAAAGGGCTTGGGTTTCACAGACTAGGTGATGGGCTGCCCCTCTAAATGCAAATGTAGCCATAACTATTTAGCTCCCAAGTCTACATCCTCTCATAGACTCGGGAGTTAACATAGGTCTGATAACCAGGCTACTGCCAAAGTACATTGTCCAGCTGTATAGAAATAAAGTATTTTTGTGTTACTTTGACGATTGTCTGGTATTGTAGGTGTAGAAAAATAGATATGGATAGATATGTTGACACTGACTACTTTTCTTTTTGTGTGCGTCAACAGTTATTGTGCCACCGAGTGTCGTCTGGACCCGACGGGACCAAGTCACGGGCATCAACATCGTGGAAATGTTGCCTGGAAACACCACAACAATCCGGGAGGGCTTAGGATCCGGAGGCTCTTTAACAGTCAAGAATCTCTTCAGGTCTGACCTTATCTTATTTATTGTAAATAACTGACATATCTTCTGAATGGTAGAGTGTAACAATACTCTCCTCAAGAAAAACATACAATAGATTCAATCTAACAAACCTCAAGCATCAGGGCAGATGCATGGCGGCTGCAGACATGTCCCTCCAAGATGATCTGTTTTCTGCCAGCGCTCTCCAATCAGTTCTGCTGACCCCTAAACTGTCCAGTACACTGAAAACTTGGTCCTCCCATCTGTTGGATTAGCTTTGGTAAAAATTATATGGATTTAACAGTGTTAGAATTGTATTTTAATATAGATCATGTATGTACCCTCAGGCTTGTTGTTTCTTCTTTGCCATACATTGTACCAGCTACAGTTGTTGACCAATATTTAACGTTGCTTTGATTTGTATTTTTATTTTGCGAAATGCATCCCTTCCCATCTGTCCATCGCTACACATAAGTCTCTGTGATGCACTTTAAATTTCATTTCGTTGATGTCTACATACATCATTTTTGTTTTCAAACAGTGTCAATCCGCCATCTTTCTTGACTGCGCTGGATTTTGACATCCGAAGGCAACAGATGTTCTGGGCTGACTCCGGACTGCAAGCTATACACAAGGTAAAAGCTGCGGCTATTTGCGAGCTTCCATATACCTAGGAAGTCTATACCGCCTACCGTCCCGGTTTAGAATTGGTTGATGGGCTCTGATGTAATTCGACTCCACCAGACTCCCTCAGAAGGTAAGGGGCAGCGGACGGTATCGACTTCCAGGTACTTTTGGTCCATCCTGAGGTTTCCAGAAATTTATCGAGGGAGGACGGTTTGGGATTCCGGGAACGTTTGATCAGTTTCTGACATTTTCTGTCGTTACGTTTCTACGAAATTGGACGTTTCATATACAAGAAAAACATGAATGCAGTTTTCTTTGAGTTGAATCAAATGTCAAAGACCAGTATGGTAAAAGCTTTCAGTTTTCATTAACAGTAAGTTTATTTGCAAATTCATGCGCAAGGGCAAATTGCAACAATGTACACATCATACATATGACTATTCAGAACAAGTGACTATTCTATTCATAATACGATTTAAATTATTTGGGTTTGACCTCTTTTTTGGAAGCTGTAGTTTAATATACATTTATTCCACAATTCTTCCAATCCGCTAGGTCGATTTCCTGAACGAGGCATCAGTGGCGACAATCCTGAAGGGGACGTCATCCTCCGTGCAAGGCCTGGCCGTTGATTGGCTGAACCAGAACCTTTACTACACCGACGCGTACTACAACTGGATCGGGCTGTTCAACACCAACTCCTCCAATCACCACGTAGTCGTGCAGACGGGCTTGGATAGGCCGCAAGGCATCGCCGTGCACCCAAGCCGAGGGTATGTAGCTTGAGTGTGAGACTTTTTAGCTTTCGTCCGCTCCCCACGATCCGCTGCCGGTAGCGGATCGTGGCCGTGGGGAGTGGACGGAAGCTAAAAAGTCTCACACTCATACTAGAGGGTATGAGTTGAATTGAACGTCTTAATCTATAATAGGGTCTTGTGGCGTAACGTCTGAGTGCTCGGCTTAGAACCAAGAGGTTTCAGGCTCGAATCCTGCCATGTCCTTACTTTCTCTAGTTCTGGAGATTCTTTGATACATATTCATATGTATATTTTGCTAATTTGCTAGTATATTCAAATTCCAATTGAGGTAAATTCTAGAACAGAAGATGAAAGTCTTGTGTATTGTGAATGTACATAATATATATCAAAATATTTGGGACTTACACCTGTGTTGTATTCACACGTTCACCTTTAGGCAGATATTCTGGAGTGACCGGGGACGGGAGCCGAAGATCGAAAGTGCGACGCTGTCCGGACAGAACAGGACAGTCCTGGTCAGTACCAACATCCAGGCTCCGCATGGGATGGTCATCGACTATGTCAGAAACAGGTACAGCAATTTGACTGGCTTTTAAAAGAATACTATCACAGAGTTGTTCTTGGCAAAATATCGTAAGTTACAAATGAAGACGATTCCATAATGATTCGTGCTGCACTTAGAAATCAGAGCTTGTACTATCCGTGTACGAACTATCATTCACTTCTAATACAGCTACTTAAAGCCTCGGTCATTTCACCGTTTGATGCCCCTAGGATTAGTTTGTGCCACACGTCGTAGATTTCAAAGGAGATGGATGCAAGTTTTCAACAATCCAAATATTAAGATATTGCACCCTTTTCTCCTCAAAGCTTGGGTGGAAACAAATCATCGTTTGTGGCCAGGGCTTCAATCTAAGTAGGAACAAACAATGCTCAACACTGTTGTTTATTACAGACTTTACTGGGCAGACAGCGGGCTTGACATAATCGGATACTATGACCTGGACAGCGGGACCCGGGGCGTTTACCGCTACTCACCGGGAACCCACTTCTTTGACATTGCGTTTGATGGGGTAGGCGTCTCTTGGTCCATTTACACTGTCTAGCAGCATTTAGATGTAGAACGATGCTTTCCTAAAACTAGAAGCCCAAATACTTCTTCAAAGTCTGAAACCTCCAGTTTCGTATATTGCTTTGATGCATTTCCACCTTTTTCTCTCCCCAAAACAGGCTGGCATTCTAGCTACCGACCAGAGCGGAGACGATCTGCATGTGATAGTGGATGGGGAGGACGTCATCGAAGCGCAGCTCAGAGCCCAGCCGCATGGTGTCGCTTTTTACCACGACAGCAGGCAGGAATGGCAAGAAAGTAAATATGAATTGTGTACTTTACAGCTTGTTGAAGTATTACTTCATAACTAGGACTAAATGAATCAAATGAAAAAAAAATACAGGATAAATATCAGATAACATAGAGTTCATCATTTTAAACTTACCAAATATCATGGAAAAAGTGGAAAATTATGTCTTTCACGGCATACACAAAAGAAGTCAAACCCAGCAGATATACATTTAGTTTTAGACAATTGGTCTTCTAGAATGTACTGTTAAATCATTTTAATTATCCACTTTTATTTAACTCCTTTGTACGTTATTTCTTTGTTTCTATGTGTTTGTTACCAGCAATCAGCCCAAGGGCATGGACTTGACAATATTTAATCTTTACTGCTTCTATTTCCCAGCTGACTGCCAGGTGAACAATGGCGGGTGTCAGCACACCTGTGTGGGAGATGCAGGTGGGCACAGGTGTCTCTGTCTGCTGGGGTATTCTCCGGGAGACGACAATCATACCTGTACTGAAGGTAGGTAAAGATTATAAGTTGGGACATCAAATCTCATATTGTACTTCTCATGAAGACCTCTCACTATGCACTAAATACGGCATTAAAGCTCGCTTAAATTGTGCTTAAAGTTGACCTTATTTATATATAGACCTGCTATATGTGTTTGTAATTATTAACATTACGCGGTCTTGCAATAGGTGCAGTTAGAGCCCTATATTCCTGTTTTCAGGCGCCTTTTAGTAGCTTCAAGGCGTCGTAAATTTTGTTTAAAATCGTCGATTATTTCAAATCTGCTTTGCGCATCTTTTTACTCGTACGTGTGCGGAAAGATGACATTTTTCCACTTGATTCTATCTTCCCATAGATGGTGGACTCCCATCAGTGGCTCTTCTGTTCTCCAGTGACGCGGGGGTGTACTGGTTACGTCATGATCTACCGGACGTTCCAAGTGACGTTTCTGTGTCACTCGGAACTCTGGTTTCCGGTCTGCGAGTCGTGGCCATGGACGTCAACTATGCAGGTAGACTGATGACATTAATACTATTGTTTCATCTAGCCTTGTAGTCAGATCATCGAACTTTATTAATATACTATAAGACCCGTGTACGTTGAGAATGATCACCAAGCTCTGTTTCATCTGGCTTGAACTGTACATTCAGAACACTGAAGGTAACTGTTACAGGCATATACAACAGAGAATTGATGCATGTTAAAGTCACAAATTCAAGTTGTATGTTTCTAGTAATGGTAAGCAAAAACATACACTCAAACAATGTCTTACAACTCACTGCTTCGCTTGTGATAGTAGAGCAGTATATGGGGCAGGTTTGGTCTTCGGATATCAAAGTAGAATTAATTCCGGATTTATGTCTGTGTTTAGGAAAGATGTTATTCTACACACAAGATGTGGCAGACGGCACCCAACGGATCTACAGGTAAGTGTCTGTTTGTCATAGGGATCAACTTATGTTTTCTCTAGAGGCCCTGTTAACACTAGGATGAAATTGTCCGACTTGAACTGAATAGATTGGCAAGCAGCTTTGATCTAACTTTGATCCGGTCATTTTTACCCCAGTTGAACGAAACTGGATTGGGAGCGTTCCCACTGGGGTAAAGTTGACAGGATAGAAGCCGGTCACCAATTTATTTGGCTCGATACGGAAATTTTATCTTAGGCCATGTTGATTTGATTGTATGGATGACATCCTCCGGGAACCCCAAAATTGATGCGCGCATGCGAATAAAAAAAAAGTTTTGCAAAAAAAAAAAGAAATTGTTTTCATTATGAAATCTGCGTGGTCATGAGGGTTGAGCAAATGGCACAGAATATGGTTTGGCGAATAATCTAGTCTTCAAGTTCATTTCTTTACAATTTCGTCTTTTTTCGTTTGATTCTGGCATTCTACGACATTGGTATAGTTTTTATTATTTTTTTTGTAACTTATGGTATATTTTTGCTCAATTTGCAACTGTTTTGTACGATTTACAGTATGGTTGAAAACTTTTTTTTTTTTGGAAACGGCCGAAAATTCATGCGCGCGCGGATGTCATCCATATAATCAAATCAACATGGCCTTAGTTGGAAAAGGGCCCAAAAGAACCTGCAAATGCAGGCATCCACATACACCCGGGCACATCTGTTTCCTGTATAAATACGATAACATGTCATTATCTTCCAAACCAGACACATGATAGTAACTGCTTTGAGGAATGAATACACAATTAAATAATCTTGTCTTTGAAAGTGCTGATCGAAGTCCTTGCCTTTTGTTTTCAGGCGATCCTTAATCCATGGCTCTATCGATGCACCACATTTCATACACGCCGGAGGGAGCAACATTGAAGGTATTACCTTTCTTATATACTACGAGCACATCACACAGAAAATATCTCACTAATATGTATACGTACCTAACTAATGAATGGTACTAGAATTAGAACAAGTAAATCGCTAGTATTTTATATTACATTCACTATTACTTCTAGGTAAGAATTTCAAAGTATGGGGTGGCTGAGCTGTGGGTTTTCGTGTCTGTTTGCCCGATACTCGTAGTTCTAGATTTCTGGCACCTTTAGTGTTGAGCAGTCATTTCAAAGGGAGGTGAAGGTTTATGTATCAAAGTAACGTTAGCTAGTAAACGTACACAACAATATTAAGGTTTTGTTCCTTCCTAGGGATTGCTGTTGATTGGGTGGCATCAAACCTGTACTGGACAGAAAAGTCGCACGGAAACATCCAAGTGTCCAGACTGGACGGCGGTTTCAGGAAGGTCATAGTGTCAGGACTGGACCAGCCGCTAGGTGTCGCTGTGCATCCACGCGAAGGGTTAGTACATGTTGAATTAATACAATAAGTTATGATAAGTGTGGAAGTATCTATACGAGCCATTGGTTTGTGTAGAATAGGAAAGAAAGCGTCGATTGGTTTCCATTATCGCGATTTCTTTTCCGATACTACTATATGAAAACTATCAGTATGTCCGGGATATCAGCCCAATAAGAATTATGTGAATACGACTTTATACGCTCTTTGTATATATTGGAAGAGCCAAGAGAAATATGAAAACGTTAAACCAGCACCCTCGTCCAGTACCCTTTCATATGAGCTATGTTATGCCATCTTCAATGCGCACAGCCCTTACACATCAATCTGATATATTGAATCTTTCCAAAACAAAACAGGTTCCTTTTCTGGACTGAGAGTGGGACCAATCCTAGAGTGGCGAGGGCAACATTAGCTGGTACAGAAACAAGAACCCTGGTGTCCGGCTTCAGTGTTAATCAGCCCAGGGGTCTGGCTATTGACTTCTTGGAGGACAGGTAAAGTTCTTAAATTTTTTTGGTTCATTGCTTACTGTTACGGCATGGAAGTATTGTTTTGGGCGTCAGAGCTGTGAGTTTGTGCGTCTTTTGGTTCGAGCAGAGTAGGTTGACACGTCGTGGGCGGGGAAGATTGACAAACACCACAGAATGACAGGTAGAAAAGTCAGACGGGGGAAATTAAAACGGTCTACAAAAAAAAAGAAGGCTGACAGCATATAGATGGGGGTGAAGATTGACAGGCAAAATGACAGGTAAAAAGGTCAAAGAAAACCAGGTGAAGTCTGGCTAAAATCTTCCATATTTTGTTATTGAAGTAAGTTTCGTTCTATATGATTTCGTGTCTTCCATCTTTAACCATCTATTTTAACACCAAATTTTCAACTAGGATTTACTGGGTGGACGGTTTCCATGGTACCGTCCAATCATGTGACGTCAATGGCGGGAATGTGGTCTCGCATTCGCTAACTGGTGCATTTGACCTTTCTGGGATAACCATCTACAAGGTATAAGGTCATAGCCGTTTTTCGTTCACTATACTTTCTATCATTGTATCTTTTACTATCCTATGCTCACCATATAGACTGAAATTACTATTAGATACTGCATGGCTTAAAATTCATTTGAGAGATTAGGTGCATCGGTGCACCTTGCCTAAGACTTAAAGGTGCTCTATGTAGTTTTTTGCGCAAAAAAATAAAATATTCTGAATCTAACAAATCTTGGTCTTATCATCATTTTCTATTACTTTTCAACACATTTGCGTCATTAAATCACGTTTCTGGCGTATTTTGTTAGCGCAAAAACAGTCCGCTTGATGCGCGCTCAGTGCACAGAAAAATTGATGTACAACATAAGATAAAAGTAATATGTCGGAAAAAACATACCAATATTATTCCATAGCTTACTGTCTTTTTGAATCTTAAAATTCTATAACCAACTTCAAAACTCTAAGTAATACAACAAAAGGCTTAATTATTTTATGGACCTTGAAAGATGAGATGATATAATATGATGTATTCTACAACAGTACTTTTATATAAATAACCATTCACAATAAAGTGCATCTGATGTCAACGTTTTTTTTTCTTCGAACCAACTACTTTTTTATTCTCAGGACTACGTCCTGATGACGGACAGTGACAACCGGCGTTTGGTCATCGGACTGCGTCAGCACGACGGACAGTTCGGCGTACACAGAACGGTCTCCGGACTGGGGACGGAACCGCACAACATCCGGATGTACGACGGCAACGAACAGCTGTCCCATCCAGGTAGAACTAACTACGTGTTCCTTCTTCCCTTGTACCTCAGTTATCTAACTTAGTGCATTTGGCCCATGTGGGGTGTGAATAAGCAATAAAGTTCAATTTTGTCATTGTTATTTATCTTTCATTATCAGGGGAGATTTGGGTTTATTAGCAGTATATCTCCTGGCTTATCCCTTAAATCTCGTTATTCACGTTGCATTAGTTGCACAACTAAAAGCGATAGAAAAATACGTTTCTATTAGCCGAAAAATGTTTGAAAGTATAGTTTTGGTGTGGCGATAATTTAGGCTAGGTTTGTATATTTGGGTTTCATTTGATTGAACGAGTTTTCGTTCTATGATCAAGGATCAGGTTGCTAGGAACGTATAAACCATTAATTGACTTCCTGGAATTTGAAATCTCTTATTTCTTTTTATTTTCTTCACTAGGGCCGTGTGATGAAGACAATGGAGGCTGTGGAGACCTCTGTCTACCAGTCCCAAGTGGAAGGGTTTGCGCGTGTGGAGAAGGGCGCTTCTTACAGCTGGATGGTCGTAACTGCGGACTACATGTGCCGGTACCAGTAACAACGACAACACAAGCACCTGTCGTAACCACAACTACGCGTGAACCAACAACCACTAGTACACAGAGAGCATCTACCACCACCTCTACTACACCACGACCCTCTACCACTACCACGACTACAATACAACCCTCTACCACCACCACTACAGTAACTACACTACAACCCTCTACCACCACCACCACTACTACACAGCAACCCTTTACTACCACCTCTACCACACTACAACTTTCCACTACCACTACTACTACACAACAGCCCACTACTACTACCACTTCTACTACTACACAACAACCCTCTACCACAACCTCCACTACGCTACAACCTTCTACCACCACAACTACTACGCTACAACCCTCTACTACCACCTCTACTACACTACAACCCTCCACCACGACCACTACTACACTACATCCCTCTACCACAACCTCTACTACACTACAACCCTCTACCACCACCACTACTATACAGCAACCCTCTACTACCACCACTACTACGCTACAACCCTCCACCACCTCTACTACACTACAGCCCTCCACTACAACAACCTCTACTACACTACAGCCCACTACTACAACCACTACTACACAACAGCCCTCTACTACTACCTCTACTACACCACAACCACCCACCACTTCTACTACACGACAACCCTCCACTTCTACCAGTACTATGACACTACAACCAAGCAGAGCCTCAACAGTCAGCCCACCGACATTCGAAAACACGTGCCCGAATGGCCAGTCTTTGAGCTTCGACCTATCGGCCGATGGACGGGTTTTTATCAACCTAACCCTCACAGCAACCGACGGAGAAGGAACGCCGCTCCAGGTCGAGGGAAGCGTAAGTCTGCCGGGCTATGTGGACTACGAACCCGGAAGGCAACACTGGTCGTTTCAGGCTGTGGACAGATGGGGAAGGACAGCGACATGCTCCTTCGATGTGACCATATTAGGTGATTGATTTAACTAGTAGATTTGAGAAAGGTCTGATCATCATTCGTATCCACCAGACCCCTTTGCAGGCTGAATAAGGTAGTAGAAATCGGCCTAAAAAGAAGCTGGCCAGGGGAGTTGACCTGCCATAGAGGGTCCACTCTGCCTACATTCTACTTTTTATTCAGCCTGCAAAGGAGTCTGGTGGATACTAAATCATCATCATCATCTGTCTTTAAACATGATGTTCTTTCCATGTGATTATGAAACACAGGCCTTTTATTAAGATTAAACTATTGAAAATGAAAGGTTATTATTTTACATTTTTGTGTGTTTTATGTCTCATTTAAAAACATCTTATTGTTCAACTCTGTAGATTCCCATCCACCAACCATCCACAACTGCCCGGGCAACATCACCATGGCAACAACTACCGATGGCGTCACAGTCACGTGGGATGCACCCACAGCCGCGGACAACTCCGGGCGTGACGTCAAACTGACCGCCAGCAAAGACCCCGGATCGAGATTTTACTTCGCAGACCCGCAGAACATAGTGACGTATACAGCACGTGACGTCGCAGGGAACACAGCAACGTGTGATTTCTGGATAATACTGAAAAGTGAGTTCTTTATGGTTAAAACGACGTTTCTAATTCTGGGTAGGGAAGTATTGTTTTGAGTGACAGTTTGTACAGTGTCGGTTTGTATGTTTCTTGTCACACCGATTGGTGACGGGTGCATGAATGGTAGGAAGTGGTTTTGACAGTTGATTGTCAGGTCCTATTTAAAAGTGACGCGGCAAATCAAGAGGGTAATATGTGCAATGATTCAGAAAGTGTTGTAATACCGCGATTAGATTACAGCATACCATCTTTCAGCAGTTTCAATGCATCCATAAAAAGAAAAAAAACTTGCAGAAAGTCTGAAATCTCCGAATTTTATAACACATGAATATAGTTTGGAATGATCCTAAAAGACGTGTTTTGTTTTGAATAGTCACTTTCACAGTAAAGACAAAAGGGTTTTGACTAGGTAATATCATGAAGGTAGAAGAGATACTTAAATATTGTTTCCATTTTCAGGTGCTTCTTCGACATGCTCTGAGAGCGACTTACCGACTGTCACAAACGGCTACTTCGGTGCGTGTTCTGTCTCTAACGGGGTGAAGTCCTGTCCTGTCGTCTGCAACGACTCTAACAACCGCCTGACCCCGTCCTCGCGCGTAATCAGGTGCCAACCGGATGGACGGTGGGAGAGCGGAGTTTATATTTGCAGCAGTGAGTATCATATCTGTTATTATCGTAGTCAAAACGGTGCCTATTTAGTTCTATGCATGAATGGGTTAGGGGGAGGATCAGGCACGGTTTTGGATAGTACTAGTATCCAGGAACGTAGGTCGTGTTGTACCCATAACCGATATTTCAGCACTAGGGACAGGGACACTTTTCCATTATTTCCGCTTGACAGTCTCTTTCGTATCCAGAGCCGTGCCTATCTATCTAGTTCTATGCATGAATGTGTTAGGTTGAGAATCAGGCACGGTTTTGGATAGTCTCCGCGTATCAAAGCCTAGATTTGCCCCAGGCACGGTTCTGGATATGTTCGCGGATATGTTAGCATGGTTCTGCACATATCCAGAACCATGCCTGAGCATCATCATCATCATTCACTATTTTTCTGCATGGATCTGGATAAAGCACGGTTATGAGTACAACAGTCAATCCTATTGGGACAGTTTGGACTCAGCATGTTTAGTGAGATACATGTCAACAAGAACATGTCAAGTTATGCTGACCACCAATGCCGGAGACAAAGATAAGCAGAAACTTACAGACACACCCAAAATATAGTCTCCACCAGACTTCTTCTGCGGGCTGAATAAGTCGTAGAAATCGGCCAGAGAAGCTCCATTTGTTCTCGGCGGGCATTTAATACCCTTTTTTAGGCCGATTTCTACGATTTATTCAGCCCGCAGAAGAAGTCTGGTGGAGACTACCCAAAACAGTACCTCTCGTTTCACGGAAATAACAGTGTTGTTTTTCACGTTTTAACAGGAGGACGTTCGCCGCTGAGCGTCTCCAGTTCTGCCAGCTTCAGCATCACGACTGCGCCCTGCCACGATGACGCAGAGTTTCTTCACACCGTCACGTCCAACATGGTGGACCACTTCGGCCAAACGGGCGTCTGCTGGTCCGCCAGCCGAAACTCCGTACCCCTCTGCGAGACCGGTAACGACGGGACCTTCCCAAACATCAGGCTATCGTGTCGTCAGAACAACGTTAACTCTCGCAAGCGGCGAGATTTGGCAGCCAACTCTCGCGGGCGGCGAGATTTTGCAACCAACTCTCGCCGCCCGCCGTCAGGGGTGAGCTTGCTCACATCTCGCGAGAGTTCAGAATCTATCATACATCTGACGCCAGATAATTTGTCCAATCGGGCTCTACGCGACGTCGGAGGTCAATTTCTCAAAATCTCTAAAGAAGCAGAACACTCGGTTGAGAACATTGTTGTCAAAAATCCGGCAGGAAATTCACAAAGTCGACGTGTGAAGCGGGAGGAAGGCGGTATAGACGTTTTGTTGGAGATGAAAATCAACATGGCGGCCGGTGACGTCAGCAGTATTCACCAGGCCGAGGAGCGACTGCAAAACGTCATCGATGACGTCAGGAGAAGAGTGGTCACCGGTGACGTAGTCGTCCGCGTCAATGACGTCACCTACACCGCTGACGCTGACTCCTTCTCGTCTACAGATATAACCGTAGACTGTCCAAAAGACACCGAGAAAAAAGGGAACTTGTGTGGTAAGTCTTTTTGTGTGGTTTTCTTGCAACTTTAACGTGGTAACCCTTTTTTTTGCATCCGATATTCGTCCACACCACCACCCCGCACAGGTAAATGAGTCAAAAAAGTCCAATTCAAGGACGTTTTGGTATTTACGACGCATTTACATGTAAGCTGCTGATAGGCAACTGAAAACCTAACAAAATATAGAATCTATACCTACCTACTGCATAGTAATGACCATCTTTGCGTTGTCTCCACCAGACTTCTTTTGCAGGCTGAATAATAGTAGAAATCGACGTAAAAATGCAAATTGGACCCTCTCTAGTGGAGTCTAGTGGAGACTAATATTTACATAACCTAAGAAAGGTTCGTAGATACATAAATGGAAAAAGAAAGACGTCTAATATACAGCTTTTTGTGCCGTCCTTAATTCCACAGTTGAGAAAGATGAGCCGGACGGTGGTCTGTCTACCACCACCTGGATCGGGATAGGAGCTGGTGCCGCCGCCGCCTGTGTCCTCATCATCATCGCTATCGTGATAATCTGGCGCAGAGGGAGCAAATTCCAGACCCCAACACGGAGACACTCGCAGCTCAATACCTTCCACAACCCAGCCTTCGCTGACCCTATATATGACGGTATGTTATCATGTACATGTATTTTACCAACTAACAGTGGCGTCGGTAGCGCAACGGTTAGAGCGTTGGACTCAGAACCAATAGGTCCCTGGTTCGATACTCACCATGCCCCGACGTTGTGCCCTTGGGAAAGGGGAAAGGCACTTTACATAACTTCCCTACCTGACGGTGGAGTGACACCCACCGAGCCCCTTAGACTAATCTGTCTAAATGTGTGCCACAAACACAATACGGCTTTGGTGTGTCAACATCTACACATTTACCACCGAGAGCCATTTTTAATGAGCTAACGTCGACTATAGCTTATATAGCTTTAATATGACTCGTCGGATTGATATAACATGTCAAACTTAATGTCTACAATTACAGTGATTAAAGACAAGCCGATGGTTGCACGAAACGAGTATGCGGAAAACCCCGGACCGTTAGGAGACGACGGCGGCTACGAGATTCCCCCCGCAGCGCGAGCGCCACCTACCACCTTTATGGCGAACTACAACCAGGAACGGGATCGCCTGCAGAACGATGCAGATGTCGACCACGACTACAGCTACCCAAATAAGGAAAGCGGACCGTACCAAGCACTAGGCGGCACGTTTCAGCGCCACCACGAGTACCAGAGCCTGGCCGGGATTGGTCAGAGGCGACAGCATCCTGGGAACGAGAGCGACGGGAGAGCCAATCAGCAGCGTCAGACCAACGTCGTTCCCATGGCAACAGGGCCTGTAAACAACAACAGCGACCAGGCAGTAACTTTCAACTGGGGACGCTGAGCAGGACATATCAAAGACAGAGATTTTTAAAAACAAACTTTATACAACTGCGATTTTACTTCTAAACTGCTACAGTTAAAACTACGGACGCTAAGCAGAATATCATGAGTCAAAGGAACTTATAAAACTTAATACAACCGCGCTTCAAAACTGATACAGTAAAAACTGAGAATGCTACGCAGATGCAGAGAATACCAAAGAAAGATTACAAAATCTATATGTAACTGCGCTTTTATTAAATTACCATGATTGAGACAAATATACCTTTTGCTTCCAATGCATTAAGAGCATTGTAAAAATGCATCACTTAGATACCCACAAGATTAATATGCATCAGACGGGGATCCTATCAATATAAATTTGGTATTTCAAAACATGTATAAGTTATAGATTTGATAAATATTTAACGTGATGTAGGAATTGACTTCTATCAAAATTGCGACAACGGGTGTGTAACTAGCTAGCTTACTATTGACTATTAACAACATAAACATTGACAATATGTCTTAACTCCATGACAATATGTCTTTACAATATGTCTTTGCTTTGTAAAATAAATGCTTGTTCAAAAACTGCCAGTTGTTAGAAGTGTAAGTTGTACGTAGGCGCCGGATTTGTACTCCCTTTTTGTGACGTCCTGTAAGGTCGGCTAGCTACCCACTTGGCCATTAAACCGGTTGCAACGGCCAGGTGGGTAGAGTGCTCGCCTTGTATTCCGTAGGTCGTGAGTTCAATCAGTCATTCCAAAGACTTTAAAAATGACCCCGGTCATGCGAAAGACTTTAAAAATGACCCCGGTGATGCCAAAGACTTTAAAAATGACCCCGGTCATGCCAAAGACTTTAAAAATGACCCCGGTCATGCCAAAGACTTTAAAATGACCCCGGTCATGCCAAAGACTTTAAAAATGACCCCGGTCATGCCAAAGACTTTAAAAATGACCCCGGTCATGCCAAAGACTTTAAAAATGACCCCGGTCATGCCAAAGACTTTAAAAATGGTACATACTGCTTTCTTTGCTTAGCACTCATGCATCAGCACTTGGGAAAGAATATGGGAGTTAAACACACACAACTACATGTACCCCCGCTGTAGTGACTGCACACCTGTGTGGCCCAAGGACTACGAAACAGAGATGGGCGCCGCCATTCTACCGGTTGCGGAGGGGGGGGCTTTAACTTTAAGGTCGGCTAGGGTCTCTATTTCCCAGGCACAGGTGCGTGACATACGAAAACTTGTTGACACGAACAGGTACAGGTAAGATATGGTAGGTGCTCGAGAATTCACCTGTGTGCTTTGGGTCACGCAAACCACCAATAACACAGCAGAAGTTTGATACCCACACCCCCTCCCCTACAGCGGATGGGCCTAGAAAAATTAATGTTGTGTTTCAGGTTTGTCCTGAAAAACGTATGGCATATCGCGATAGGTATGGATTCTCTTACCTTTGGTTAGATTTCTGCTGAAGATTGAAATTTAGATGTCAAATTGAACATTAATGGCCAAATCCCAGAAATGCTAGGGTCACCAGATATTTGCTAGGGTCGTGGGGAAACAACAAACACAAAATGTTTTTCCTAGGCCTTGGTACAAAACACGTGACACGCAGAGCTTTCTCGGTAAACAAGACGGACTGAAGTTCAACAGCTTCAATTTGTGTTAGATTCGCGCATTTTATGAACAGTTGCACCGCCATGGAAGTCAAACGTAGCTCCAGGTGTGCCCACTTTACAGGGTTCCTGTGTTTTCTTCTGTTTCAAGGTAAGTACCGATAGAATACAGGGTTGAATCTATGGGGAAGTTCTTACAAGGAAGTACATTCCTGAAAAATCGCCATCCATGACACTTGGTCTGTTAGGATGTCACAAGGTGTCAAGATAGTGAACTTTCTCTCAGCTATATTGTATGATGTTGTACTCCTTCGACAGAAATATACTTGTTCGTTCGGAAACGTGTCGTACGATCGTCGTACGATTAAAAAATTCTTGTGATACTTGTACATGCATGTGTTGGCGAAAGACCATCCATGAGTCACTGTTAACACAGATAAGAGCCAAAATAGTGTGCTTCCTCAATGCTACATTGTATATATATATATATTAAGTTTTACTCAAGTTTTCGACAGAGCCTTGTTCAATAGAAGTGAAACGTATTGGAATCTTGACCCCTATGTTTCTCACGAAAAACAAAACAAAACAACTCATTATATTACATTAGTGTTGAGAAGGCCTTTGTTGTTTTTACCTACAATGCAAGTCTGAAAAGTCACGTCTAGACGTCTAGATGAATTCAGTCGGTTTCCCAAAACAAATTGTACGTCAATGTTTAGGCTCTAACTATAACAATCTTAAATTTGAAGTCTTTATGTATTTGCTTTATGTGTGTACATGTTTATGTTGCACCGTGTGCATGTGTGTGTGTGTGTGTCACGGTGTGTTGTGTGTGTGTCTGTGTTTGTGTATGTGTGTGTGTGTGTGTGTCTGTGTGTGCATGTGCGTGTGCGTGTTTGTGTGTGTGCATGTGCGCGCGCGTGTGTGTGCGTGCGTGTGTGTGGACTGCGCTACAATCATGTGCTGCAATTGTATCAAAAAAGAACAATCACCTCAAGACGTGTTTACAGCAAGGCATTGCTAGGCTAGCGGAAAGAGACGATTTGTTTTCAATAGCACATACAAATCATCTGACACTAAATAAACACTTAACATGTACAGTCACGCACTTTGTACTACGGAATACCTCTGTAGGCATGATTGCTTTACCGTGGCCACTAGTGCCTGTTTCACGTTAAAAAGAAGACTGACACTGAGTTTGTATAGTACAGTAAACTGTCATTATCTAGACTTCGGGGTTGCGAAGAAACTTTTAAATAGCCTGGGTGCCATCCGATTTGTTCGGGGTTGCCGTAACAAAAGAAAAGGCTAGAAAAAAATCGCCTGGGAACGGTTATATCTTTTCGGGGTTTCCGTTACAAATTGGATGGCACCCAGGCTAACTTTTAAAGTTATCCAAATCAAATTCAGCTAGGGCAGTAGATCTACAACTTGATGTTCAAAGTCAATTTTCTGGTCATGTTTTAATGTAGTAAGCTGAATCAACTCTTTATCATAGCAGTGTGTGGAAAATATGCGAAGTCGCTGATGAAATACAGTTGAATTGTTTCGTGCTTGGCTAGCTGATTGTACATGTAGCTACTTACCGGTGCCAAAATTAAGGCATTCCTCGCGGAGCTTGTTTTATGGCTGTTTCAAATGCTTTCATGATGATGAAAATGTGCTAAAATGTTGTAATTTTGTGTATTTGGTAACTTTTTTGGTGACCATTAGCTGAATATGATGTACACGGAGATTTAATTAATATCATACATAGAAATTAAATTCTATTCTTTTTTTTTTTTCAATTCCACAACAGTTTCTTGCGGGAATTCGAATAGCTTCATTCTAGTCGCCGACAGGTTGCTGAAAGGAATTTATCAAGTTGACGTCACATCCGGTTTGAATGTGTCACTTCCGCTTGGGGAACTTCCGGATCCGTCTGGCCTTGACTATGATCACGTGACGGATCTCGTGTACTGGTCTGACGTATCAGAGGGTAAAATAATGCGAGCAAAACGAGACGGGGCGAACGTGGAGGTTGTTGCTGAAAATGGTGTCATCTGTGAGTATAGATGAAACAACTTCTTATATTACATCAATTGTATAGTCTCTATAATATTGTATCATATATAATATAGTACGGTATAGTATTACACTATACAGTCTATCTATTATACCTTAATTACACAGTGCACATTCCTTGCGACCTAAAAGTATATGCTTTCATCCAGCGCTTACCGGACCACAGCCGTGTCAATCAAATGAAACCAAATCTCCGCCCAGTCACTTCCAACCTTCGTTGCTCATTATAAGATACATGTACATACAAACTCGAGCCACCAAATACAACACTTCCGTCCCGGAAATAACAAAAAAGGCTGTGAAATGTAAACTATGGTATATATTTAATAGATAATGTTATTTATTTATTATGCCCTACCTTAACTGTTTATCATCGCTTCTATGTTACATTAATGTATGTATTTGGTGTGCATGTGATCAGCATACTCGCTGCCTAGTGCACAGTTTCGAATAGATAAATTAAAAAAATAGAAATAAAATACAAAGAATCATTCGGATAGTGGGGACGGGGGACGTGTGGCGCAACGGCAGCGTGCGCGACTCGGAATCAAGAGGTCCCGGGTTCGAGTCCTGACATGCCACCGATCTTGGGAAAGGCACTTTACACGACTTTCCCCACTTGACTCAAGTGAAAATGAGTATTGTCTGTCCAGTATTCGTTTCTATGTGCCGGACACAACATCAGCAACAGCTGCCTCTGTTCCGCGTGTATTGCACTGTTGCAATTTCAATAAATAAATAAATAAATACATGTACAAAGAAAAGTTAATGTGAGTTTTTGTCTGACATCCCAGCTCCAACTGACGTCGCCCTTGACCTTGCCGGAGGGAACATCTACTGGACGGACAGTGGGTCCTACGTCATCCGAGTTGCCCGGATGGACGGCGAATACTCCAGGGTCATCGTCCGAGAGGGCGAACCGATAACCGCCCAGCCCCAGGGAATAGCGCTGGACCCCGAGAACGGGTATGGGCTTATTTTTTTTGGCGACGTCTCAGGGAGGAGCCTAATGGTACAGTATTGTGTGCAGTTTGCAAGAACTCTAGGAATGGTACAGGCATTTTGTCCACAGGAATGGAATGTCCACAGGCATGTCTCTGACCCACATCTATGCCCACATTCCTGGAAACCCTTGGCCCTACTTTCTGTAACCCCGGGGCTCGTTCACTATACACTCAGGGGAGGAGTGTACTGTATCTGTCTAGACTTAACACAGGCACCAAGTCTTCCTCAAAATCATGAAATGATGGCAGTGCCATGCAAACAATAACCCTAACAGCAACCACTGTCGCCATGGCAATGTAAGTTTTCATTGCCAGTCTTGTTTTCTATTTCAACATTTATTACAAGACACACTCATGCATTTTCAACTTATATTTATGCCACCACCAACGCAGACAAAGGCGAGCATGAAAGAACAACAGACATACTCATTTTCACCTGTGAGTTAAGTTAGGAAATTCGTGTAAAGTGCTTTTCCCAAGCGCACAAGATAAGTAGAACGGTGGGATTCGAACCCCGGACCTCTTGATTCGGAGCCGAACGCTTTGTCGTCACGCACGACCACATATGGGCCTATTTGCATTAGCTATCTACAAGTGGGCTGTAAAAATCTTCAAGGACCTCCACTTCATAGCTTTCTGTTGGTTGCTATAGTCCTTCTAAAGTTTACATGACCTAAAGTATTGTGTTGTGTTGTATTTTATTTATTGACATTTCATTGCTTGGGCCAAGGCATGACTGAGTTTGTGAGTGTGTGTGTGTGTGTGTGTGTGTGTGTGTGTGGGTGGGGGGG